CAGGCTCCATTCAGGGGAGCCAGGAGCCGTACTCCTGAGCAAGTGCAATAGAGCACTAACTCACTTCTCTTTCCCTCCATGCACCTTGTCTACAAAAATTTCCATTTAGAAACTAACTGAAATATTAGAATTGAACCAAACTTTTGGACACATAGTCGATGTCTACAGAATGTTCCACCCCACAGCATCAGAATACACATTCTTCTCAGCTGCATATAGGACATTCTCCAAAACAGACTATATACTAGCTCACAGAACATACTTAAGTAAATTCAAAGGAAGCGAAATTATCCCATGCATATTATCAGACTATAGGGTAATGAAATTGGAAATCAACTGCAAAAAAACCATAAGAACTTCATAAGCACATGGAAATTAAATAACACCCTCCTGAACAACCAATGGGTCACAGATGAAATTAAAGAAAAAATTAGATAGTCTCTATAATTAAATGATAATGACAATACAACATACCAGAACATATGGGACACAATGAAAGCAGTCCTAAGAGGGACATTTATAGTAGTGAAAACCCGTTTCAGGAAAACAGAGCAAGCACAAATAAACAACTTAATGTTGAACCTCAAACTTCAAGAAAAAGAAAGCAGGCCAAGCCCAAAGCTTGTACAAGGGAGAAAATTATAAAGATGAGAGCAGAAATTAATGCACTGGAGACTAAGAAAACAATACAAATAATCAATGAATCAGAGTTGATTCTTTAAAAGATTAAACAAAATTGATAAACCCTTAGCTAAGGACTGATAAGCCCTTATCTTATCAAAAAAGGAAAGAAAAGACTCAAATCCATGCAATTAGGAGTGAAAAGGATGAAATCACAGTGGACCCTGCAGAAACCCAGAAAATCATCAATACATACCTTGAGAACCTGCATTCTAATACAATGGAAAATGCAGAAGAAATGGACAGATTCTAAGATACACATGAATTACCAAAGCTGAATCAAGAAGATATAAAAGTCCTAAATAAACCAGTATCAATCAATGAAATTGAAGATGTAATTAAAAACCCACCAGCAAAGAAATGTCCAGGCCCTAAAGGATTCACTGCTGAATTCCACAAGAAATTTACAGAAGACCATGTGTACCTCCACTGTTGGTGGGAGTATAGACTGGTACAATCACTGTAGAAATCAGTGTGGAGATTCCTTGAAAAACTAGGACTAGAGGTTCCATTTGACCCAGCCATTCCTTTCCTGGGTATCTTCCCAAAAGAATTAAAAGCATCATATCATTGTGACATATGTACACTTATGTGTATAGTGACACAGTTTGTAATAGCGAAATCTTGGAAACAATGCAAGTGCCCACCAACTAGTGAATGGATAAAGAAGATGTGTTTTTTACACTATGGAGTACTACTCTGACATAAAGAAGGATACACTTGAGACATTTCTAGGAAACTGGAAGCATCTTGAGTCTATACTCTTAAGTGAAATAAATCGGACACACGTGTGAATACCTCATCGCTTCTCTGGTGTGAGAAACTGCAAGTCTAAAGAAGGACCAAAAGGTATTTTGAAATAGGAGGAAAAATGTTCAAATGGGGGGGACAAGAGAAGGGAGGGAGAAAGGAAAGAAGGGAAAAGTAAAAAAAAAATGAGAAAAGAAGGAAAAAACGGAAACAAAGCTTCTGTAAATAGGGAGGGAGGAGGGGTTGAAGGGAGAGGAGGGGAATGGGGTAAAAAAACAGGTTACATCATGTACAGGTAAAAATTCTCTATGGTGAATGTGATCATTATGTCTATCTAAAATGTACCAATAAAATCTAATTTAAAAAAATATTAAAATGTACACAACTGTAAAAAAAAAAAAAAAAAAGAAAAGAAAAGAAAGAAACTAACTAGGGCTGGGGATTTAGCTCAGAGGCACAGTGCCTGCCTGGCAAGTGCAAGGTGGTGAGTTTGATTCCTGGTACCAGAAAAACACAAACAAACAAAAAAGAAACTAACTGAAAACATCAGCAGGCCCCTACTCTAATTCCCTCACTGTCACAGGGACACTCGACCCATCTTGCACAGGGACAACTTCTAAGGCAACCGTTTTAAAACTCGGGGTTACGTTTGGAAGTCACTATTGGGACGGCTTCTGAGACTAACTTCATGAACCTTGGTTTAAAAATATTTTTTCTTTTGTGATTGCTTAATTTCTCTTTCTGAAACTTGTCAGTGTAACTAAATCATGTGCATGTCTCAAATGGCTCCACCTAGACATAGTATTCCCTGTATTTCACTGGTTAAAATTTTTATTAGCTGCAGAAATTGTGTTTAGATTAAGTGAATGCATCATTTCTAGGAGGAACAGAGAAAGCAGGCTGCAAAGGTAACAAACAAAAGTTCTGAGATCACGTAATGCTCTGAGTTTCATTTTCCTGCAATTAGGCCAGCTTTGGCTACCTCAATCATTTTCCTGCCTTTTTTCAATTCTGCTTGCCTCAGAGTCCCATCTGCAGTTTGAGTGACCTACTTAATAAGAATGTGGAACCTGCAGACAAAAAGGATGTTGGTTCCCTGCCCAGCTCCGCTGCTGACTGCAGGCAAGCCCGGCTCATGCCTCCCTTTCCTAAGCCTCCACCTTTTCACATTTACGAAGAAAGGGCTGGACTCTCAGTTGCTCTGCAGCATTAAGACTCTGTGGATATTTCTGAACATCTCCCATGTACAAAGCACTGTGTTAGATATACAGGAATGGGGGGAGATGCAAAGATGAACTGATGCTAACCTATATAATATACTAGCAAAGAGAAGGCCATACAGTGCAAAATTAAAGGCCATAGTTACCTTATTTATCTGGTCTATTCGTGACTGGCATTGTACTTGGCATACAGTGGATGCTCAATTAAATAACATACAGACCTAGAGATATTTAGAGAAGAGAGGTTTCACCTGAGGAAGGGATGGAGAATAATGGTTTCATAGGTGTTCCATCTGAGTCAATTTTTAAACAGTGATTCAATTTTCAGTGACTTCCCAGCACTAGCCTCTAATTGGAGGCAAAGTCGTAATCCAACATACAAGGTCCTCCGTGGTCTGGTCCCAATATATCCTCCAACCCTTATCCCTGCCTCACTCAGAACTATGCTGTACCCATCTAGGCTCCTTCACTATTCCAGTTTGATTTTTAAACGTGAGGTTTAGTTGGTAGAATCAGAAGGATTAGGTTTGGAAAGCAGGCTCCAGAGCCATGAATATTCTATCAGTAAGAATTCACACACTCAGTTCTCACAAGAGTCTCTGATAGTCTCAGACTTACTGTGCACCTGAGGTATTCCGCTGACACGTCAGTGTGCTAAGAATTTGGCTGAAGATGAATCCATCCCTGAGAGAGACACTGACTCTTGGTATGATGATGAAATTAAGCGCAGGAACATGTAGAGACCTGGAGTCCTGGAAAAGTCACCAAGCTAAATACTGCTTTGTAGGCTTCCTGGCAACCACACATATTGAGTTCCACCACAATAAAAAGAAGTAGAACCAAACTAAAGCCATCACTGCTACATTTACAAGCTGATGGAAAAGAGAACAGCCTACACTTTCTCAGAGAAACATCACACTATGCACAAACAATGCATATGAAGGTCTATGACGGGGGATCTGTGCCCAACTTGTATTTTCCCTCTAGCAGCAATTGATACTCTCCTACGAGCGAGTTCTGATGATAACAACCAGAACGTACTTTGAGTGTTCTCACTGGCTTATGCCCAGTGAAGCATCTGCCCTGGCAATGAAACTCTCCTCGCTTTTCCATTTTTGCTATGAACCATGACTCCTTTCTTGGGCCTACCCAATAAGCAACTAAAAGCTAAATCAGGTTTGACTTCCATTTTCTATGCTCTGTTACTGTCAGTCTTGGGTCACATCTCTTCTCAGCTCTGCATTCAGATATGTTAATCACTTAGGGAGCTTCTATCTAAAAGTTGGCAAAACATGTCAATTAGCCCTGAACTTACAGCTGTTCCTATCCAGGCAAGATTGAGAACACCAAGAAGAGGGATGTCCAGGGACAGTCAACTATGCCTGGAAGTCTCCAGCCATTTTTGTGAACCTGGGGTCATTTTGTGAAAATGAGGCAAACCTCAGCCAGAAGGGCTCCAGAGCTATGACAACAGGACTGAGATTATAATCAAGAGGGCCCCAGACAACCAGCCGATCTTTGAAAGCCGGCCACCCTTGCAGTGGACCAGTCTGAACGTCCGTGTCAGTGTGCTTCCTCCAGCTCCCTACGCTAGAATCCTTCCAGTTCTTCCCTCTTACTATCTAATCAAAGCTTTTTTTGCCTGGGAGGTAGGAACGATTCCTGGCTTTCATTACACATCACACTTTGAATAGATCTCAGCAGCATAAGCACTACCCATATGCTGCATATCAAACTCAGTAAGCACAACACTTAACTCTGAGGACATGAGAAAAAAAATCTCTCTTCTCTTCCATAAATACCTAAGTGACCTGGCCAACTACTTCTATGCTGGGCACGCTTGTTTAGTCTATTGTTTTGGGTATTTTTGCTTTCTTTTGGTTTAGCTTGGTTTTTTTGTTTTTTTTATGGTTTTTTTGGTTTTTTTTTTTGTTTGGTTTTTTTTTTGTTTTTCTCCAGTACCGGGAACCGAACTCACGACCTTGCGCTTGCCAGGCAGGCGCTTTTGCCGCTGAGCTAAATCCCCAGCCCTAGCTTGGTTTTTTTGAGACTGAATCTCACTATGTAGTTCAGGCTGGTCTTGAACTTGCTATATAGTGCAGGCTGGCCTTGAACTCATGGAAATTCTCCTGTTTCAGCCTCCTGAGTGCTGAGATTACAGGCACATGCCAAGTATGTGTAGTTTTTGTATTTGCTAAATGCTCAGGCCTCCCACAGAGCAAACGCAGGAAATCATATGTGCCAAAGTGTCTTCCAAGGGAATTTCAACATTTCCTTCTCAGGAGACAAGCAGGATCAGAGTTTTGGAGTCAGCTGAGAGCAAAGGGAGAGAGACAGATGCCTGCTTACCATAGAAGAGGAACGCTTTGGTCCTGGGATGATGTAAGTAGGTCCGGTTGATGGTAAAGAAACAAGCATCCATTCCACACTGGCCCAGCCGTCCAGTTTCCCCAGTCAGTGGGGACCACCAGAGCATGATGGGGTAGCCACCCACTTCCAGCCTTTTCTTCCTCTTCAAGGTCAATGCTTCTTTCTTAAAGAATACATTGAGATGTTTAGACTCTTCCTCCACCTTGTTATGTCCATCTTGCAAATGGGAATTTTTAAACTTCTTCCTTTCGAACTTCCCCAGCTCAACGACAACCTGAAAGTAAGTCAAAGACAGTCATTATCAGATTTCCTCTGGCACACCTCCCAGTCGTCTTGACGACTGACTGCCCTGTTCACTTTTTGTTGTAGGTCTAATAAATTGCCACAAACTCCCCAATTTGAAACAACCAAAATTTATTATTCCACAGTTCTGGTGGTCAGAAGTTGGAAAGAGGATTCACTGCATTGAAATCAAAGGGTCAGGAGGGTCACATGCCTTTCTGGAGATTCCAGAGGAGAATCCATTTTCTCGACTTCTCTGTCTCTTAGAGGCCAGCCATAACAGTTGGCCTGTGGCCCTTCCTCCACCTTCACAGCCAGCAACCCGGCCCGCCTGGTCTGTCCTGACCCCTCTCTGACCACAGCCAGGGAAGGGTTTCTACTCTTGATGATTCACACGACCACACAAGATCAAGAATTTTTTTTTAAAATTTTTTATATTCTTACTAGTACATGTTTGCAGTATATGGTTACATTCATCGTGGGGAGATATTACATGTACACAGCACATCTTTTTTTTTTACTTCCCCTCCTTCTCCTCTGAGGCCTCCTTCTCCTCTCTCTTCTGAGGCCAAATAATTTATAGAGACTTATTTCTTACAGTTCTGGAGGCTGGGAAGTCCAAGGTAGAGGGGTCCAAGAGAAGTGAAGGAGCCCAAACTCATCCTTCTATCAGGACCCCTCTCCTGAGAGGACTTGCGCACTCCACAACCATGGCCTGAATCTACACCTGAGGGCAAATGAGGCCCAAGCACCCATCAAGGTCCCAGCTTTCTATACTATTGCACTGGGGACACAGTATGTCCAAAGCATGAACTTTGAGGGACACACTCACATCAAAGCCGTGCTCCACTTCATGGTATGTGACATTAACCCCATCTGCAAGGTCCCTTCTGCCATCTAAGTGACATATTCACAGGTCCATGGATTACAGCAAACTATATACCAACAGGGATGCATAATAATTCTGCTAAACAATTACAACAGACTTATCCCTGCTTCCTAAACAGATATAGCATCCAGAAAATGTTTTGTCCCTTGAAATTTATGATAAATGGGTTATTACTTGTCTACTACTAGAGATTACACACTAGGGAAAATGAGTTATAAATTACCAACTAACTTCTTGTATTACAATTAAAGAAGTCAAAACACAGGCATTATAGTTCAAACTATACCCACTATAGCACTGAAACTATGAAGTAATACCTAACATCAAACTCCTTAGAGTCTGTGTTATGAACCCGGCAATCCACTGAGAACCGGCTTCCACTCCCTTCCACACGAGACTGCAGTTTTCAACCATTTCGGGATAGTCTACGTCTGCTCCCTGGGCCATCAGAAACAGTAATGGAGAGGGCAAAGTGAATGGGATACAAACTAGGGGGCAGCCGTCCTCCAAAAGTGCTACCTTTTCCTTGAATTTTTAAACTTTGACATTGATATGGCATTACTAAAAGGTTAGCAGAAGACTGATCTATTTTATGTGTATGTGTAACTGAAACCCAGCCAGACAGGCAGGAACACAGAAAGCGTTTTAAGGAAACACATGTGCACCTGTATCGAGTCAGTCCCTCTACACTCACAGGTACTCTATCTACAGATTCCACCAACCAGAGATCAAAAAGATTCAAAGAAAAAACTGCATCGAGGGCCAGGCATGGTGGCGCATGCCTGTAATCCCAGCACTCAGGAGGCTGAGCCAGAGGACTGCCACGAGTTTGAGGCCAGCCTGGACTACAAAGTGAGTTCAAGGCCAGCCTTAACTGCATAGCAAAACCTTGTCTCAAAACGTCCAAAAAATTTTTTTGCATCTACACTGAACAAATGATACAATGTAACAATTATTTACTTACCACTTACATTGTATTAGGTACTATGACCAATCCAGAGATGCTTTAAAGTATTCAGGAGAAAAAAAAGTATACAGGAGAATGTGACAGGTTATATGCAAATACTATGCCATTTTACAGCAGAGACTTGGGGATCTACATATTTTGGTAAATGGGGAGCCAATCCCCTAGGCCATGTTGGCTAAACCTGTGGCATGTGTGTTGTTATGTTCTTATTTTAGGACAAAAGATGGTAACGTATGAATTGTTTTTTCCAAACTAAAACCTCAGTATTCAGGTTTAATTGCAATGTTGGCACTTGATGATAAATGTGTTTCTTTTTTTTCTTTTTTTTTTTTCTTTTTTTTTTTTTTTGTCTTTTTGAGACAGGCTGGCCTTGAGCTCCCTTTGTAGCCCAGGCTGGTCTCAAACTCCCAA